AATTTTTTTTTTTTTTTTTTTTTTTTTTAATATTGCTTGTTCTGGGTATTGTTTTGTATGAGTTGTTTGTGGAGTTACTGCACACGGTTTCTGCTTGATTAAGTTAATTTCTTGATTTGTTTTAATTTTACAGCAATTGATTTAAAATACCCTTTTTTTATATATGATGTTGATATCGGGTATGGGTTTGGATTTTACCGTTATTCACGTGAAAAAATGTTTTCGATCGCTGCAGGTAATTTGAAATATATCAATTTGTGGAGAAAACAAAGTAAGAGTTTTCTGAGTTTTGGGGGGTGGCTTTGAGATTTTGAGGAAGAATATATTTATTTTTGAGGAGAGAGACAGGAGGAGTTTGTGAAAATGATGTCAAGATCTTATACCAACCTTTTGGATCTAGCATCTGGGAATTTCCCAGTAATGGGCAGGGAGAAGGAGCGGAAGCGGTTCCCGAGGGTAATGACAGTCCCAGGCAGTATTGCAGAGCTTGATGATGATGCGGCTAATAGCGTCACATCTGAAACTCCATCTTTAGTTGCTGGTGATAGAATTATTATTGTAGCAAACCATTTGCCTTTAAAAGCAAAACGAAGGCCAGACAATAAAGGATGGACTTTTAGTTGGAATGAGGATGCTTTGCTTGTTAAGGATAGCTTGCCGGAAGACATGGAGGTCCTTTATGTTGGGTCACTGCATGTTGATGTTGATCCATTGGAAGAGGATGATGTTTCCAATTATCTTTTGGAAAAATATAAATGTGTACCTGCTTTCCTTCCACCTAATCTTCTGGAAAAATATTATGATGGCTTTTGCAAGAAACAGTTGTGGCCCCTATTTCACTATATGTTGCCATTTTCAGCTGATCATGGAGGCCGGTTTGATCGTTCCATGTGGGAGGCTTATGTTTCAGTCAATAGGATCTTTTCACAGAAAGTGATTGAGGTGTTAAATCCTGAGGATGATTTTGTTTGGATTCATGATTATCATTTGATGGTGTTGCCAACATTCTTGAGAAGGCGCTTCCTTCGATTGAGAATGGGATTTTTTCTTCACAGCCCTTTTCCGTCTTCTGAGTTGTATAGGACGCTTCCTGTTAGAGAAGAAATTCTTAAGGCTCTACTCAACTCTGATCTTATTGGTTTCCACACGTTTGATTATGCTCGACATTTCCTCTCTTGTTGCAGTCTGATGCTGGGCTTGGAATATCAATCTAAAAGAGGTTATATAGGGTTGGATTATTATGGAAGAACAGTTGGTATAAAGATTATGCCAGTTGGAATACATATGGGCCACATTGAATCAGCAATGAGACTTGCAGATAAAGAGATGAGGTTTGCGGAGCTAAAGCGGCAGTTTGAAGGTAAAACAGTGTTGCTGGGAGTTGATGATATGGATATTTTCAAAGGTATCAACTTGAAACTTTTAGCTATGGAACACATGCTGAAGCAGCATCCTAAATGGCAAGGAAGGGCTGTTCTGGTCCAGATTGCAAATCCTGCAAGAGGGAAAGGAATAGACTTGGAGGAAATAAAGGCTGAAATAGAGGACAGCTGCAAGAGAATTAATGAGGAATTGGGGAGGCCTGGGTATGAACCTGTTGTTTTTATCAACAGGCCTGTATCAAGCAGTGAAAGGATGGCTTATTACAGCATTGCTGAATGCGTTGTGGTCACTGCGGTAAGGGATGGGATGAACCTGACTCCTTATGAATACATTGTCTGTAGACAAGGCATACCTGGTGCCGAGACAGCTTTGAACTTGAGTGGACCGAAGAAGAGCATGCTAGTTATATCGGAATTCATTGGTTGTTCTCCTTCTCTAAGTGGTGCTATTCGCGTTAATCCTTGGAATGTTGAATCAACTGCCGAGGCAATGAATGAGGCCATATCAATGGCCGAATCTGAACAGCAGTTGCGACATGAGAAGCATTATCGTTATGTCAGTTCCCATGATGTAGCATTTTGGTCTAGGAGTTTCTTGCAAGACATGGAGAGAACCTGTGCTGACCATTTCAGAAAAAGATGCTGGGGCATTGGTCTGGGCTTTGGATTTCGAGTAGTGGCATTAGATCCTAATTTTAGAAAGCTTTCAATGGATCATATCGTGGCAGCTTACTGCAGAGCTAAAAACAGGGCTATATTGTTGGACTATGATGGCACTTTGATGCCTCAAAATTCAATTATTAAGAGTCCAAGTGCAGAAGTTATCTCTATCTTGAGCAGGCTTGGTGGAGATCAAAAGAATACAGTCTTCATGGTGAGTGGAAGAGGGAGGGACAGCTTAGGCGGGTGGTTCTCTCCTTGCAAGAAGCTGGGACTTGCTGCAGAACATGGCTATTTTTTGAGGTGTGTTATCTACCATTTTCCCTTGTCAATTTATTAATTAATTTATTTTTCCCTTTCCCTGGGAGGTAAAGTTGCTGCAGTGGGTTAATATGAGTTAAAGCTGCAGATAGTCATTTACTCTTCAGTAGGACTAAATCTGGCATAAGCTATTATTTAGTGCTTCAGCTGAACAAACAGAAGCTATGCGGCAAATTTTTCTTTTTCTTTTTCTTTTT